ATTAGTGATAATGACCTGATATAATTCAATTGACAACTGAAGCTTGAAATAATTTTGTTGAACTAAAGTCTTAGATTGATTTTAGTGCATTACATGTTAGAAATTGATAAAACCCACATTGTGATAGTTGATTGCTAGATAGTTATCATTACTTATAATCTAGTTTACTCATTAATATTCAACAGAATTTAGCAATTAGTAATACCCAAGTTACAAAAGTATAATTCATACCAACACACTCCTAAGAGTCTTCAATTTTAACAACCGTATTCATCGTTATTTAAAAATGCACTCCAGAACCCTAAAATTTTTCAAATATGATACCAAATTAAAAAATTGGGCACACAATAATTTTTAAAAACTTGAATACAGTCGGGCTAATGTCACTCAACCATAGTTGGAAGACTCCCGCTACGGCGGTGCCGCTATGGTGCCAGCATGGTTGCTATAGCCGGCTGACGGGAATCAGACCCTAGTGAAATACGAGGTGTTTTATTTTCCTCCCATTTCCAGGAAAAAATTTGAGGAGGGCTGCTCAAAAAATCATCCTAAGACACTCATGGCACAGGAGAAATGGAGGGGAGAATTTTCTGCGCAAAGGAGATGAAAACCCAAGGAATTTTGATCCTAGTTCGTCACGAATTACTCTCACAAAGTCGAAATCTCTTAGAAAAGGTTCATCAACAATTTCTTAGCACCCAAGTAGGCTAGGATTTTCTTAACTTAGTAATTAAACATGTGTTTACTTGCATTATATCTTGTGAATTGTAGAAGATTTCATGTATAGACCTTGGGACACAGAGTCTGAAGGATAAAATATGTGCCTAGTTGGGGTTAGGCTGATGTTGGATTTAACTGTACGGACTCCATAATAACAATGGGAAATAAAAGCAGAAACCATAGTGTCTTATCGACTCAATTTTAAGATAAAGATAGCAAATGGCCTATTCAGCTTTCAAATCAGGGCACAAGCATAGCAGTTTGAAACAAGATAAAGAGAAGCAAGTTAGTGAAGCATTTACTTCATCCCTAACCAGAGGTTTAGGGTTCGAGTTTTTCAGGGTACGAAGTCACTTTTGTTAGAGAGCGTTTTACCTCCTCAATGTGGAATTTTTCGGAACCCAAATTTAGTTGGATTTCAATGTAGATACCGGACACCGAGTGAAAAAAAAAAAGTTTGTGAAGCACTAACTTGCACTCTTTTCTTAGCTAGTGCTTTGCTTGCCATATTCCACTACAATGAGACATGATGTACCGCATGCCCTTTCACAGGAAACACAACGTATCTATTTGTGGGCCTAACGACTTGACAAGAGAGAATTTCTCGAATGGTGAACACTCTCTCACTTTCGAATCTTAAGCTCGTGAGTGTGAGTTATTAAGGTAGCAAAAAGAGTTAGAGGTCCTAGGGAGGGATAAAAAAAACCTAACGACTCTTAAGTACCCTTTTTATTTATCCGAATATTTACCGGTCAGCGTAGATTTTTTATATCACTTTAGTATTTTGAATAGGTAAATACTAGTAAGGAGACTTATGGATTTCTCCCCAGTGAAAACGGATTTGTACCAATCAGAAGACTTATGGGTTTCTCCATAGTGAAAATGGATCTACAGCAACCAGGACTCTGGACGCAAATAATTTCCTTTATTCACAGCCTAAATATATCTTTGAGAAAAGTATAACGTTTCACTAACCCTGCATATTTTTACTACACCCATAATGGTGTATTTATACAATAGGATTAGAGTTATAAAGAAGAATAAACTAATGAACTATCAGTCTAATTAACACTCCTTATGAATGAACCTGATCCGATAGATATTTCCAACACCTACACTAAACTTGAACTTGAATCCAACTAGTTGATCTTATTTTTAGAAGAATTGAAAGGCACAAAACAAAGTTGCTTTAGATAATGCACATCATTCCTATTCCCAACTAAAGCAAAAGAGCAAACCATCAGTCACCATCAGGGGCGGATCTATGAAGGGGTGTGGGGGTGCCACGCCATCCCCGAACTTTGACGGAAACTCTATATATACATAGGTATACATATATATATATAATATTTATATAAATATAAAGTGTGCCACCTAAAGAACAAAATTGGCTTGTGATGCCACGGTAGGAGGGCAACTTTAGAAGGCTGAAGTTGTGGGTTCAAATCCCATTTGTACCTATTTTTTTTTGAGAAATTTACTTTAGACGTTTTTTAAGAAAAAAAAGGCTCCAAGCACGCTTTTTTAAGGAAAAACAGCTGGCACATTTTTATTTTTTTTTATAATTGTTAATCGATAAGTCTATTTGGCACTCACGGACTCTAAATCCTAGATCCGCCACTAGTCACCGTGTGTCATTTATTAAGCATAATATATCAAAGGGACAAACCCCTGATTCACTCCTGATAAATATTCTTATTCTTTTCCTGACCATCAATGCATCCTGCTCCTGCGTTTCAGGGGCAGTAGGAGTAGACATTTAGCTCAGTTGATTGGCTATGTGAACTTTTACTTTGTTGGTAGGGTTAAACAAATCTACCGTCCAACCGAAGATCAGCATCCTAAGTAGTATGATTATTAAATAAGCACAAAAGATAATTTGCAAAAATCCTAAATTTTTTTCAAAAAAGGAGTCATACTTTATGAGGATATTCTTACAATTAGGAAACCTCAAGTCTCACTGCATCATTCTAATTGAACCTTGCTTATTTGGCCCCATCTGCATTGCACTTCAAAGAAAAATATGTACAGGAACAATTGCAGCCGATCAAAAATAGAGTATGAGAAATTTCTCGAGGCTTGTGATAATGATCTTTGCTAGCATTTCTCTAAAGATCTCATGTATTTGCCGATTGAGATGGCAACCTAGGATGGTTATGTTCTCCTTCGTAAGTGACAATAAGCATCGAAGGTTCTTCCAAGCATCTCTCAACGTGCTTCCTGGCAGGACAGCCTCTCATGCTGCTACAGTTATAGTATCCCCAGCATAATCCAAGAAAAACTTTAGCTGAGTTTATGTTTTGCTTGAATCATAGAAATTGCACACCTCGGGGAGCTACCAGCGAACAAAAAAACCTAGTCGGTAAGGTAAGACTACACAAAGCAGCCAGTTCACATTCTCTAGTTTAGCAATTCTTTATCAACAAATGAACCATTACAACATCCCCCTTCAGTTAGCAAAGATGTTAACAAAGCCGATTCAGTTAATCCTGATAAATTATCCAATCTGCTAAATATCCAGGGACTTGCTATCTCACCAGCCAAGTAAGACAACAAAGACACATTCAAGCAAAACAAAGGGGAAAACTTGAGCACGTTGGCATGTGGAAGATATATCTATGAGACAAAAAAGAGCAACAGAAACAAACATCAAGACGTGTAATATACTAAGAAGCAATCATGGCAAAACCTTTAGTAATTCCGTTCAAATTTACAGACAATAATGTTAATTCAGAATAATACCTAGGGTGCGGAAACCCTTTGATCGGTGGTTGTCCATATTTTCTCCAAGAATACTCATCCGGGGGAATATCGCTAGTTTGTTACTTATAGCAGGAACCTTGATTGAGCTCTTTACCCTGTGCTTCCTGTTAAAAGATAATCCAGCAAGTCTTTTTAAGTATGTAAAACATAGAAGTATCAAAGAGGAACTGTATGATGCTTAAATTAAACGACAAACCTCTTCTTCGAGAAGTGACATCTTCCACTGCTTCCACATTTCACATTTCCCTCCTCTCCCCTTCCGGAGCATCTTTTCTTATGTTGAAATGAGCTCTGATCGTTATTCCCCTCAACAGAATGGGGTTGCTGAGAGGAAGCATAGATCTATACTTAACATGGACAGAGCTCTAAGGTTTTGTGCCTTTGAAATACTGGGGTTTTTGTGTATCTACAATTGTGTATCTTCTCAATAGATTGCCCACAATGTGTTTGCATGGTAAATCTCCATTTAAGAAGTATGACCACCTCCCTCAACTCAGTCATCTCAAGGTATTTGGGTCCCTATGTTATGCCACTGATCCAAAGAAAGTTGACAAGTTTGCTCCGAGGGTTGTACCTGCTGTACATTTGGGATATTCTCAAACTCAAAAGGGCTATATACTCTATGATTTAGCATCTAAATCATTCTTTGTGAGTAGATACACTAATTTTAAGGAAGAGGTGTTTCCTTTTAAGGAGCTCAAATCCTCTCCTGATCCCTTGTTACCAGGCCTTTCCTTTCCAGATGAGTTATCCCTAGTTGATTCTTCATGCTCCATTGATACTGCAGTGTCTTCTGTGCCTAATGAGGACCCTTCATCTACTGTTGTTTAACCCCCCAGACCTCTTTTTCCTCTCAGGAGATCCTCTAGACCTTCCAGACCACCTATATGGTTACATGATTATGCTACTCCTAGCGCCCACACTTCCTGCACTTATCCTATGTCACAGTATATGTATTATTCTTGATTGACTCCATCTTACCAGACATCTCTAGGTGTTTATTCTGAGGTATCTGAGCCTCACTCTTACCTGGAAGCCTGTCAGGATCCTCAATGGGTGGAGGCAATGACAGCTGAGATTACTGCTCTTGAACTCAATAATACATGGTCCATTGTTCCTCTTCCTCCTAGCAGGACCCCTATTGGTTGTAAGTGGGTGCTCAAAATCAAGTATAGAACATTTGGTGAAGTTGAGAGGTATAAGGCAAGGTTGGTGGCAAAAGGATATAGTCAACAAGAAGGTCTGGATTATTCTAAGACCTTCTCCCCAGTTGCCAAAATGGTTACTGTTCGATCAGTGGTTGCTTTAGCTGCTTCTTGTGGTTGGTTTTTGTACCAAATGGATGTGCATAATGCTTTTCTTTAGGGTGATCTCTTTGAGGAAGTTTATATGTCTATCCCTGAGGACTTTGCAAACTAGGGGAGAAACACATGGTTTACAAACTTTAAATGCCTTTGTATGGACTAAAACATGCACCAATGCAATGGAATTTGAAACTAACTGAGGCACTGATCAGCATGGGGTTCCTTCAATCTCACTATGACTATTCCCTATTTACAAAGAAAGTGAAAAATGAACTCCTAGTCATTTTAGTATATGTAGATGATCTCCTTATTACTGGAAGCAACCTAAATCTTATTCAGCAAGTTAAAAAAGACTTGCAACAAAGGTTCAAAATAAAGGACCTTGGAGAGTTGAAATTTTTTTGTGGAATTGAATTCTCCAGAACAACTGAGGGCATTCTTATGAATCAGAGGAAGTATGCATTAGGACTTTTTTCTGAATTGGGACTAGCAGGATGCAAACTTGCTTCCTCTCCATTGGAGTTTAATCACAAGCTAACATCTACTACGTTTGATGAATGCACTGGAAAAAATACAAATGCAGAAGACAAACCACTTGATGACTGTGGAAGGCATCAAAGGATAGTTGAAAGACTATTGTACTTAACTGTGACTAGGCCTGACATAGCCTTTGTAGTTCAAGTACTCAGCCAATGTATGTACTCAACTAAACAGTCTCATATGGAAGCTGCACTCAGAGTGGTGAGATATATAAAAGGAATTGTTGGTCTTGGACTATTTATGCCAAGTAAGAAATGTTCAGAGTTAGTAGCATTTTGTGACTCAGATTGGGGAGCTTGTATGGAATCCAGGAGATCAGTAACAGGCTATGTAGTGAAACTGGGCAATGCAATGATATCTTGGAAGTAAAAAAAACAAAGCATTGTATCAAGGAGTTCTGCAGAGGCAGAGTTTAGAAGCATGGCTACCACAGTAGCTAAATTAGTATGGTTGAAAGGATTGTTCAAGGAGTTTGGAATAGAAGTAAACTTACATACCAGACTGTTTTGTGACAGCAAAGCTGCAATTCAAATAGCAGCACACCCAATCTTTCATGAGAGTCCAAAACATTTTGACATAGATTGTCATTTTTTAAGGCTTATGCAAACACAAATGAGAGAACAACAGGCTGATCTACTTACTAAAGGACTATGTAAACCTCAACATGAAACACTAATTGGCAAGCTTGGAATGAAGAACATAATTTCTTATTCTGAGTTTGAGGGGGAGTGTTGAATACATGTTACTAATTAATTATACAAGTTGTTAGTTAGTTAAAGAAGTTAGTTAGAATAGAAGCTTCTAGAAGGTCTTGGTAGTTAGGAATGTTGTTAGCTATAAATACATGCATCTTGTACAGATTTGCATATGAATGGAGTTTTTCTCATTCTTTCTGATTTCACTCTCCAAATACTCTCATTAATGGAGTCTCTTAACAAAGGAGTATGTGATATTTAAGGTAAAGGTCAATTTGAGCAGCGAGAGAAACTAACTGTAAATATGAGATCGCTCTATTCAAAAACATATTACATTGCCTTGCCCAAAATTGGAACTAATGTGTAGGATTAGCATTTCTATGCCTGAAAAATTGAGTTTCCCATGAATTGGACACAAATTGAAAAGCTCCAAGTTCTACCTTTAAATATTTTCCTTTGCTAAATCCATCATTCAGATTAAGAGAGTTGGACACAAATTGAAAAATGAGCAGATCTGAAAGTTGTAAAACCCAATTGAGAAGATGAACAAAACTTGAGAAGCATTGTCTCTGATAAGATTACATTAGTTAGATGATGTAGACTGTTCATTCATAGAGTTAGTTAGTTATTGTACATTCATAGAGTTAGTTAGTTAGGAATCACAAAGTTTGTTAGATGTGTCAGACTCGATCAGTGTATAAACACAACCATTGTATTGATTATTTTTCAGTTTTCACATTCTCAATAATATATTTTCTCTTTTCCTCTGATCGTTGGTGAAAGCTCAAATCTCCATAATGGAGGATGTTCATTGTTTCTCAGCCTATGCTGTTAGTTTTGTCATGGTATCAGAGCAAGGAGACTCCTGCTCCTCTCTCTAGTCGTGAGTACTGTATTGATTTTTGCCCTTATCCCTGTTGTCATCTTCTTCTCCCTATTTTTTTCTCTGGACAATCTCACTATCGTTCCTCTGTTCTAATTTGAGTTTACTCATTGTGAATTCATCTTCACAATTTGTCTGTAATTGCATTCTTCTTCACAATCACTCTCATCTTCTTCTATGGGTGACGTTCCAGCTGACGCGGCTGCTACCAACACTTCGACTCGATTAGATTTCAATAGCCCCTTCTATCTGCACCCCTCAGAAAATGCAGGTTCAACTTTACTTCCTGTTGTTTTTTATGGAACTAGCTACAGGTCATGGAGACGAGTTGTTCTTAGGGCTTTATCTATTAAGAGTAAAACTGGATTCATCAATGGAAAAGTCGTGAAACCAGATCCTGCAGATCCAGCCTTAATGCAGTGGAAAAGGTGTGACGAGATGGTAACCTCTTGGATCCTAAATTCTCTCTCACCAGATTTGCGATATAGCTTGCAATATGTCAACAATGCCAAGAAACTTTGAGAGGAATTGGAAGATAGATATGACCAAACTAATGGTTGCAAACTCTATCAACTGCAGAAGGAGATAAATGACCTTGTGCAGGGCACTTTGGATGTCACTGGTTACTATACTAAGATGAAGAAATTGTGGGAGGAAATGAACACTCTTGGTGTCAATTCTCAACACTTGTGTGTATTTGTGGTGGAAAAACCAAAATGCATAAGGTTGAGCAAGATAGAAGACTAATACATTTTTTGATGGGCCTAAATGAGATGTATACTGCCATACATGGGAACATCCTCATGATGTCTAATCTGCCAACTATGGCACAAGCATTTGCCATTTTGTCACAAAAGGAAAAGCAGAGAGAAATGAAGCTCCTCAGTCACATTGCTTTGGAATCCACCTCACTAAATGCCTTTGTGTCACCCCCAACACAATGTAGGGCCCAAAGGTTTCAAGACAAACTACAACTCTTATAGAAGAGGTGCAGGCAATTCCAATACCAACACTTTTAGGGGAAATTCTAGCACTGGCAACAAGTCAAACTTGTTCTGTGAATACTGCAAACGAACTGGACATACCAAAGAGAGGTGCTACAAGCTCCATAGTTATCCAGCCAACACAAGACCCCCAAGAGGAAGAGGCTCAGGATCTGCAGCAAATATGCATACTTCTGAAGATGATGGAAAATAGTGTGAGGAAACTCCTGAGGGAAGGCAAATGACATTGAATCTGTCCAAAAGCCACTATGAACAACTACTCAATCTACTTAGGACCCTGTAGGTTGGAAATGGAACTGTCAGGAAACATGTCAAATGGAGCTGCAAACCTAGCATGTATACTTGTTTGCTACTCTTCAATTACTGAGATAGGTGATTTGTCATGTAAATGTTTTAGATTGATTGTTGGTTCTTGGATCATAGATTCAGGAACATCGCATCACATGACCTACATAAAAGAAACTCTCACATAACCTTAGAACACTGCCTTATCCTTTCTTAATCATCTTACCAAATGGATACAAAGTTAAAGTGATTGAAATTGGTGATTTTTGTTTGAATTCAACACTGACTCTGTACAAAGTATTGTTTATACTAGCTTCAAGTTCAATTTGATATCAATTCATTGCTTAGCTATTCAACTCAAAGTAATAGTTAGATTTAACAGTTTTTCTTGCCTACTGCAGGGCCCTACTCTGAAGAGCCTTCTGGCACTTGGTAAGGCAAGGAATGGTTTGTATTTTTTCTGTCCATAGTGTCACAATTGTCCACCTACAAATGGTAATGATGTTTCTCGTGACAAATGTCAACTTGTTTCTTCTTTTAACTACTACAAGAAAGTTCTCATTGGAAGTGAATGCCAAGCTTCACCACCAAATGTAAAATACTCTCATGAAATCAATAAAGAAGCTTGTTTTGCTGATCTTGTTTCATGTTCTGCTATTAATTCTTTCCCTGGTAATAACCTTACTCACAGTGTCATCACTGAATTCTTATGGTATGCTAGATTGGGACAGTGCCCTTTTTAAAAATGAGGAGTATATCTGCCATTCCCCTAAAATTTTCGAACAAACAACCTTTCATTTGTACAATATGTCCTATGGATAGACAAACTAGATTGCCGTTCTCAGAGAGTACAACTGCAACCAGTACAGTGTTTGAGCTGCTTCACATTGACTTATGGGGACCATACCATGTACCAACACATAATGGCTATCACTATTTTTTAACCGTGGTGGATGATTAAAGTAGATCAACTTGGACACAACTTCTTAGGTGCAAAAGCAATGCACTGCAGACTATAAAAGCTTTCATATCCCTCATAGAAAATCAGTTTCATACCAAATTGAAAACCATTATATCTGATAATGGTATGGAATTCACAAGTGATGAGGCAACCTGTTTATTTCAAGAAATAGGCATAGTACACCAAAAATTATGTCCTTGTACACCACAGCAAAATGGTGTGGTTGAAAGGAAGCATAAGTACCTTCTTGAGACAACAAGGGCACTTCTGTTTCAGTCAAAACTGCCCATGAAACATTGAGGGGAATGTATCCTAACCGCCACCTATCTCATCAATAGACTACCTACAAAACAAGTCCCTATATGAACTGCTATATCAAAGGAAACCAACCTACTCCCACCTTAGAAGTTTCGGATGCCTTTGTTTTCCAACTACCTTGAAAACCCATAAGGACAAATTTGAACCAATAACAACACCCCACATTTTCATTGGATAACCTTTTAATACAAAAGGTTACAACGTCTTAGATCTAGCAACCAAGAGAATTCATGTGTCCAGAGATGTTCTTTTTCATGAAACTATTTTTCCTTTTGTTATTGCTCATGTTGGTTCTAGTTTTAATTCTGTCTTACAGTCCCTTGTACATCATTCTGATATGTTACATTGCATGTCTAGTAAAACAAATAAAATTGTTGGTGATGAAATGTTGAATTCTCACACATTGGTTGAAGTCACTGTTGATCATGTTCCCACAAATGATAATGCACCTGTTACTGAACCTGCAGTCCCTATACCTCCTCCTGAACCTACTGTTTCTGCCCTTGGTGATGCTCCATTTGCACCTAGAAGAACAACTAGGTCCATTCACCCCCAAGTTACTTGAAAGAATACACCTACATATTACCCAACTTACATCCTTCTCCATCCATAAATGATGTTTCTGATCCACAACACTCACTCACATCATTCACATCTCACATTGATCATGTATGTTTCACTACACTGTGTCCTGATAGCCAACGGTTGATCTATAATGTTTCACATGATGTTGAACCTTCCTCTTATGAAGAGACAATTTTGAATCCTGCTTGGCAAGTGGCAATGGCACGGGAATTTGATGCCTTGTATGCAAAATGATACTTGGGAGCTAGTTACCTTGCCTGAAGGAAAGAATGTTGTTGGGGGTAAATGGGTGTACAAGATTAAACACAAGGCATATGGAAGTATAGAAAGGTCCAAGGCTAGACTAATGGTGAAAGGGTACACTCAACAGGCTGAAAAGATTACAATGAAACATTCTCACCTGTGGTAAAGATGACCACAGTCAGGACTCTGATTTCCTTAGCAGTCAAGAAAGGTTGGAACCTGTACCAATTGGATGTCAATAATGCCTTCCTCCATGGTGATTTAAATGAGAAAGTGTACATGACATTACCACAAGGCCTGGCAGTAGACGGTAGTGACATAGTTTGCAGGTTGAAGAAGTCATTATATGGTTTAAAGCAAGCCAGCAGACAATGGTATGACAAGCTGGCCAACCG